TTGTTTAGGCATATATATATTTATATTATGTTTATTTCAAGACATAATTTAAGGCTTTACGCTCGAGTGTGGTGTATCTGACTGGGATTTTCAACTATGGTTGCGCTATAGGAGAGATAGTCAATCCACTCGTCAGCTAAGGTCCACTTTACACGACGGGTGCTGCCTGCAGGTTGCCTTCTCTTTGCTCTGAGGTTCACAAAATAGGGACGTCTATATTTGAACCATATGGATCTTGATTTAGCTGTAGTCTACTGTGTCCATTAGGTGTACTTCATGTGAACAACAAAGATCAAGTACTTAGTTTTTATCATTTCTACGTATTATAGGATGATTGCGAAACATATTATTTCTTTCGAGTGATAAAACCAGTACACTACATAGCTAATCACTCCAACGTTATTAAAATATCAGCTCTTATCTGCCCAGCTAATTCAATGATAGGGAATATCATTCAGTGGCTCATTGTAACGTTGGTTATGTACATGTCTTTACCGTTTATTTGAAGGACGCACGGAAACGTTATTAAACATAAACAAACTCTTATCGGAAGCAATTCACCAAAGTAGTGTTTCCCAAAGTGTGGTATGCGTACCTCTGGTGGTACACGAGATGATTTTAGGTGGTACGCGGACGACCTTTTATTATTTAATAGTTAGATATTTATTTTAATGTGTATTAGAAAAAAAATTCTAAGGAAAAAATATATTTTAACAGGGTTATTACATTATCTGCCAACAATTAAATATTGGTTATTATTCAAAGGGCGTGCGCGTCATCTGGCCCGCTTTGTAATAACAATGTCAGTTTGAGATAAGAAAAATACTGTTTCGAAATAAATAGCCCCCAGTGGCACAGCGGCATTTATGCGGATTTACAACGCTAGAAACCGGGTTTCGATACCCGTGGTGGGCAGAGCACAGATAGCCCATTGTGTAGCTTTGTGCTTAATTGCAAACAAAATTTACGAAACTTGAAAAGGTTGTACTATAACACTGCTATTTAACATATTTTTATATTGAAACACATTTGAATATATGTAAATCAGCAATTCACGATTGAACGGAATGTATCACAACGACCCGGCATGGCCAGGTGGTTAGGGAGCTCGACTCGCGATCTGCAGGTTCGATTCCCCGTCCCACCAAAAATGCTCGCCCTTTCAGCCGTGGGGGGCGTTATAATGTGACGGTCAATCCCTCTATTCGTTGGTAAAAGACTAGCCTAAGAGTTGGCGGTGGGTGGTGATGACTAGCTGCCTTCTCTCTAGTCTTACACTGCTAAATTAGGTAGGACAAGCGCAAATAGCCCTCGTGTAGCTTAGTGCGAAATTTAAAAAACAAACAAACAAACAAATATGTATCAGAACTATATTTAGATGTTTTTTGTTGTTTTGTAGGTGGTGTGATGCCATCAGATACTGATCACTGTTGGTAAGGTTATGTAGCAACTCTTTCCGATGCAAAATATTCATAACTTCAGATCATATAAATGTGTTAAAATCAGGGATGCAAAATTTCCAAGACGGGTATATCCTTTGTATTTAACGTCATTGGGAGAGAAAGTAACATGAATCAATTTGTGGAACCAGGACCACCCAGAAAGAGATTTGCAACAAGTCGCGCCACAGTCGTGGTTAGCAAGTTGCGACGTTTTCTAAGAAGCGAGAATAGACAAACACAGAAATCAGTGGCAAATTCCATCCACGTAAACTAGGCAACAGTACGCAACACAATTAAGTAGGATCTCTGTCTGGAAACGAGGCCAACAGTGTGTGGCTTTATCAAGATAAGGCTTCTAGGTATACCTCCTGTTCAACCTTGACATACTTCAAGCATCTGGAAAATACAATGAGTATCCACGCTATTCCATACAAAGACATACTGGTCAAGCTGCCAGATGCTAATCATCTTTGATTTTTGTTTGATCCATCTGTTTGAAAATGGTGCTGGAAAACCATTAGAATCCTAAATTAGATAGATTATGGAAATATTACAGAGAAGAGTGGTGATAGCCTTAAGTCGGTGCCTTTTACAATGACAACTACTCTACAGGGCTATTTTCAAGTGGTGAAATGGCCTGTAACAACGTGGGAGGCTCCAAAACATTTTAATATAACATACTCCACCATTGTTTAATGCACAATGGGTTTGAAAATTTTTATATTGAACTAAATGTCGCTAAACAAAAACTTAAAAGATGACAAATTTATTCATATGAGACACACTTAAATATAATACAACTGTTACCAAGTAGGACCTAAAAAAATGTCAGTCTTATACCTTTAAATATATACAAATAAGACCAGTAAAGTTGTCAAAATTATTGATGCGACACATCCTTAGATATAAACCGGCTCTACCAAACAAAACATTAAACTATTCTAAACATATTCATTTGTAAAGAAACGGCTGTCTAACAAATCCATAAAATGTATAAAGGTTATTGCTGTGAAACATTTATAATTGCAAATTCTCGGAATTTGATATTTTTACTCTGATGGTTAAAAAAAGGGGGAAAAATCCAGTAAGTATCATATTTAGAAAAATTTTCGAATTACGCATGTAAAAAATTAAATTTAGATTCAGAAACGCCAACCATCTTAATTCAGTGCTACATATTTTTTTTGATGAAAAAACAATTTGACCAAAGATATCCAGGAGCTAAAAGGAGAGTATTACTCCGGATATTTTATGAAGTTGATTTTATATAATTTTTACGACTGTGTTAGTGTTTTGTTATATCAAAGCCACATCGAACTAACCGCTGTTTCCTCCTAGTAGAATCGAACCTCTGATTGTAGCGTTACAAATCCGAAGACTTACAGGAGGGGACCGGTTGTGTGGAGGCACATGTATATTGTGTATTGGAGAATTATGCCTCTCTTTGTCAATCAACACGATCTTGCATTAACATATTGACAAGTACACGATGAAAACGTGAGACTTTTCTGGTACATTAGATAACTTAAAACATTGGTTCTCAAACTATGCCCCTCACCCTTCTGGAGGCGGAACAATTTTTTTTGGGGGGGGCGCATGAGAAGCGTCAGGAAAATGTTTCGTTTTCCTTTTTTTTTTTCTAAGCTACACTTATCTTTGTCATTATCAGCTGTACACACACACGCACGCAAATATATATAATCAAAAACACCTTTAGGTGTGAAAAAAAGGTGCGGTCAAAAAAGGATTGAGCGTGCGACTTAAAGAAATGGAATCAAAATTGGCGGCCAAAGTGGTAGTTACACTTATAGCATTGATAAGAATTTTACAGCAAATATTCATTCATTTCAGGTCTCTGAGTTCATTCCTCTTGGAACTATAGCGGTTACAAACACAGGCAGGTTCTATTATTATTATAGATATAACAAAAATATCATCTGCGTAGGATGGCGCTTTGCAGTAAAAAAATTATGTAAAAAATAATTAAAGGTATATCAAGAAAAATGTTTGTTTGTTTGTTATGAATTACGCTGAAAGCTACACGACGCCTATCTGTGCTAGCAGTCCATAATTTAGCAGTGAAGGGCTATAGGGAAAGCAGCTAGTCATCACCTCTCACCCCCAACTCTTGGGCTACTCTTTTACCAACGAATAGTGGGATTGACCGTCACTTTATAACGTCTTCACGGTTAAAAGGGCGAGGATGTTTGGTGTGACGGGGATTCGAACCCGTAAATTAGGAGTAGAGCACCATAACCACCTGGTCATGCCGGACTTCATGGAAAAATTGTGTGGTTGAATCGTGTAGTTGTGTATTTTGGTTTGATTCAATCAATAGCTTCTTTATAGTCTAAATGGTAGGTAAGACAAAACCAGATGAGTTGAAATCGAAATAAATAAATAAACATTGTGTCGCTGTATCTGTTAATGTCAAGCTTTCCCAGTTATCTATACTAAAAAACCTTTCCTCAAACATTTTATTTTTGCAATTTTGTATATCTTTCTAAAATATTAATACACCTCACTATGTGTCATTTAACATGGTCGATTCATTGAACAGCAATAATAATCGCAAGAGTTGGCGATGGATGATCAGTTTGTTGTTACCGCCAAAAAAATCCCGCTCCGTACTTTGGAGTCATGGGTGCGTTATAAGGGTGACAGTCAAATCTAACTATTCTATTAGAGTAACCCACGAGTTGGTGGTGGGTGACGTAGACTAATAACTGCCTTCTCTCTAGTCTGTCACTTCAAATTTAGGGACGGCTAATGCAAATAGCTCTTGCATAGTTTTGCGCTAAGTTCAACAAATAAACAAACAAACAAAATCCATATTGTCAGTGGGCGTTCGGGTTGAAAAATGCTTTGGCATAAAATATCTTGCATCAATAGTATTAGTATCAACCATATAAATACAAATCTTAAATGTCATTTAAAATGTGATATTTAAGCAAAAAAACAACAACAACAAAGAAACAACAAAAAACACGATACAACGCACAAATGAAAAACACTTGGCATTAATCACTACCTGAAGAAGGTTAGATTTCAAGTGATATGGTTATAAGTTTAGCCCTATATATATGTGCACGGGTGGGGTTGGAAGTGCGCTAGCCACCACCTTTTACAGAATGACATTCAACATGATATTACGTATTGATGTCAGAGTTCTAAACTATTAAATTTACCATACATTGCTGATTTAGCAACAGTTCAAGGTAGAGTAAATACCAGATACAATATACGGGTGTACTGAAAGAAAACTGGGTATAAATACCTTTGTACGTCATCTAATTTTTTTGTGTATAACAAGCGTGTAGATTTTACTAAGAGCGTGTCACATTTCGCATAGATGTACACAGTATATTCACAATTAAAGTTAATCTTCCTTCTCGATTAATGGAAAACTCGAGACATTTCTAGATCAACACAAAGATATTTAACCTGTTTAATCTTCGGTACTTGTAGAGTCGTAGTTAGGCTTGAGGTGCTTTAATTTTAATTCGAAGAATCACAGATGTACATAATTTCAATAAAATAATTATTTTTATTATTTTTTTACACATACACATACTTTAAAGCTATAAAACATACGAATGACTTGCTCTATATTCAACAGAAAAATCGAAATATTAGAACCACTATCTGTACTTTTGATATTAATCATTTTATTGAAACAATTCCAACAGAAAAAGATAAATCTGAGGACATTTAACGCTAAAAATCATGTTTCAATACTCGCGGTGGGCAGAATACAGTTAGTCTATTGTATAGTTTTGTGCTTAACAATGAACAAATAAACTTTAAAGATAATAAATTTTCATTTATTCTCCAATAAATATTTTAATGAGCATCATATTTTACTCCTGTAGGATCTTTATGATTTTTTTTAAATTTAAAAGTTCGGTTATCCTAAAGCATCTAAATTAAAAAACAAATTATTATTTATTTGTCTGTTTTTGTCTTAGTGCAAAGCTACACAATAGGCTATCTGAGCTCTGTCCACAACGAGAATCGAACCACCATATTTTAGCATTGTAAGATCGTAAACTTACTGCTGACCCAGTGGAGGACTTTTAAAGAAAAAGAAATTGAATCTATCATGTGTTTCACATTAGAGATGCTTTGCAAGTGTTTTTTTTTTCATACAACCTATGTTAATAAAAGGAATTAATTAAAGTATGATTATACACAAAAGCAGAACTTTTTTAAATGTGTATCTAATATGCAAGAAGACTGATTTCCATATATATTAATCCGACTGACGTCATCAACAACCGTCAAATTTTTCGTATTTTCATTCAACTTAATGGTCCCTTCAAAAACTGCTTCACCAGGAGAAGTTATAACAGTCACTAAATATTCTATGTTGCCTTGGAATACGTACTTATTCTTATTTGTGGAAACGCGAGCATCTAAAATTTTTTTAAGTTTCATTTTTGCGCATTTATCTGAATAGTTCTTCAACCAGTGATTTAAAGTATCAACAAGAACGTTGGCAGCTGAAGCAATAATGGGTTCTTGTGGAGAAATGTTTCTTCGGTTATTGCAAACACACCAATGGGATGAAATGAAAGCATCCGCACACGTGCGGTTGATTGGGATTTCCTCAAACAAACTGATGCCTTTTTCGGAAGAAACAGTTTCTCGTAAAGTTCCGTCGTTGTTTCCAATGAACTTCAAAAGATGAACCAGGGTCGCACGGAGATCAAATGGCGTGGTAAGTCTTCTTTCATTAGTCCTTAGGTTTTTCGTAATTATGGGATGTTTTTTTTGGAACCATTCAGGAACAGTAAGAAAGACAAATGGCATTCTTTCTTCAATCTTGCCGAGAAGAGTTTTTCTTATTTTGCCAAACCTAATACCATGATCACTGAAGAATATCATTATGGTTCTGTTAAGTGTGCCACTGTTGTGAAGAAACTGAAGAAGATCATACGATGGAGAATCGGCATACCCTGCATAGTTCAGGACATTGTGCGTGAGGGTAGCAGTAAAAGCAAAAAGGAAATATTTCTTATCGTCCATGGTCGATGTAAATTGTTTAACGTAATCGAATACAAATTGCATTTCCAACTCTGAATGACTGCATTTTTTTTTGTGTCTTTTTAACATGTCGGACTTTACAACAGCAAGGGAAAATGGTCGATAGTAATAATCTGTAGGAGGATGGAGAAACCCCCTTCTATTATAGTTAAATAAAGCGTACTTTGGCATATCTTCAGCAAAGAGTGTACGATAACCTCTTGTAGAATATTCCTTCCAGATAAAATTTAAGTGGTCAAAAAACATATATTTTTTAGTTATATTCCAGTATTGGTTGGCAAAGAATCCTGTAAGAAGTGGAGTAAGATTATAAAAGGTATTGTCCCCAACTTTGTTGTACCCTCTTAGTTCAAAGGCTTTTAATACAGTTCGCAGGTACGTGTGTGTTTTTGTGAAGTGACGAATAAAATTTAATTTCGAAATTGAATCGATTCCAATTATCATAACGTTTAAAGAATCACCATTTGAAAAACCATTTTCTCTCTTTTTGCAGTTTTCTTCAACATTTTGTATGATTGGTGTCAGTGCAATGTATTCTTCATGGAAAAATTGGGTTTTCTTGAAGCACCGTACAACGATAAACTCCTCTTGTAAAGGTACACCAAAAGTCAAAATTTTGCTATTTCCAATTTTAAATTGATTGTCTGTAGTTAGATTACGATGTCCAGGCTCTCGTAAAATTGGTTTATAGACACAGTTAATTTCATCAAAAGACAAATTGTAATTTTTTCGAAGTAAGTTTACATTTACTTCTAGCTTAGCGTTGCTTTTAACTTCTATAAAAAACTTCTCCTTTTTACAAGCATCTTTCTTTGATACCTTGTGAATTAGGGACTTTACTGATGAATCAAATGGATCCAAATGGGGGATTCTACAACCTGGAGTGTCAATCAGGTACTGAGATAACACTTCATTTGCTGAAGTCTGTACAGATATTTTTTTTGTAATTTGTTCAAAATAGCTACTATTTCTTGTGTACACTAAATAACCAATAACGAAAAAAAGTATATAGGCAAACAATGCCAAAAATCTTCTTCTGTTGACGGGGAATAAAGTGTGAAATTGCATACTTAACTATTGTCCTTCAGAAAACCTGTAATTTAACAAAACAATTACGTTAGATAAATACAATCTTAAGTCTTCAAGACAATAAAATATTTGAATGTTTAGAACTAATAGCATGACATGAGTTTAGTGTTTTTTTGGGGGAGTAGACATATTTATCTGTAAATACTTATGCAAAGGTCACGATTAGTGCAAATGTTTATGTTTAGTTATGTGAAAAAGATTCGATAAATCTGACAAATAAAAATTTATTAATTTACCCTTATGGCTAATCTTGAATACAACTGCCATGTTTTGTTTTTTTTTCTTCTTCTATTTTCCAAAGAAAAATGTGCTATTCTTTATAAATTATTATTCATACACAAATGCATATCTAAAATAAATCATTAAGAAGCAAAAGCTTTATTCTATATCCATAATTAATCGCAACGAAAAAAATATGTTTTTCATACTTTTTATAAGAAGATGTCTTCAGAGTCTTACTTGCCCGGCATGGCCAGGTGGTTAGGGCGCTTGACTCGCACTCCGAGGGGCATGGGTTCGAATCACCATTCTACCAAACATACTTTCAGCCTTGGTGGCGTTATAATGTGACGGCCAATTCCACTATTCGTTGGTAAAAGAGTAGCCCAAAAGTTGGCAGTGGGTGGTGATCACTAGCTGCCTTTCCTCTAGTCTTTAACTGCTATATTAGGGACGGCTGACGCAGGTAGCCTTCGTGTAGCTTTGCGCGAAATTTAAACCAAACCAGAATCTTATTTACGCTTAATGTTCCGAGGAAAAGAATAACGTAAAAATAGCCATTACTCACAAAAAACTCGTAATAAACAACGTATTTCCTACAGCGAATTTAATTATTCTTTTATGAACTGGTCAGAGCTTTATTATATTCTAAGCTTTGTTTGTTTGTTTATTTTAGAGCAAAGTCACGTTGAACATATGCTGTGTACACCGTGGGAAGTCGGACCCCGAATTTCAGCATTGTAAGTCTGTACGCTTGTCGCTGTCCCACTGAAGGACATTTTCTAAGCCTATTAATGAACCTCCTATTTCCGCTTTCATCCTCAAACTAGGAAATGTTGGATTCTCATTTCACAGAAATGAACTAGCCGCAATCTAGTGTTAATTTTAAAGCAGAGAGAATTATAGGGAACATTTGAACATGTAAATTTGATTCAAATATAATGCAAAATATTTTTTTAATTACTGGTAACATATTAGTGATCATTAGATAAATACAATTTATGATCAGATATATATTAGCTATAAAGAATTTGTAATTCTAAAACATCTAACTTCGTGCTATTTCGCAGTAAGTAGCAAGTTTTATGAACGTAAAACTGTACAATGGACCCGCGCTATGTCCATTGTAGGAACTGAACATCGAATTTTAGCGTTACAAGCAGTGAAACCTATCACTGCGCCACTGTAAATATCGTAAGATGTAATGAAGTGAAAAAATACAACACCTCCGAAACTTTCCAAGAAATAATTAAATATCATTCATACAAAGCAATGCCATATATTATGTATAACAGTGGTCAAATAAGCCCGTATTATACAATCATTAAACTATTTTTGTAATTAAACAAAATACATTTAAACAGTACGCGTATTACAAAAGAATGGAGAAACTGTTTACCAATCGCAATTTCAACACTGAAAGAAATTCGAAAGGGCTGCAACGATTTTGTAAACTTCTTATCAATGCGCTTTTATATACTGGCTTCCCATTTTATAGAAGCCCCTCGCACACAGATTTGTAAAACACTCATTTATTTGCATAGGTAAGAACAAGGGTCGCCATGAATTTCAAAGGGTTGTTATAACTGGTGTCTGTCTAGAGGAGCATTTTTATTAAAAATCATATCTTTAAATGGCTGTTCAGATACATCTGTTATCAGATTGTATCAACAATGGTAAACAAAAAGGACATGTCTATCACTAGGAAAAACCATAGCCGCCAACAGTTGGTGACAGACTGAGGGAAAATTTGAATGAATAAGCTTCCAATGTGCAAAAGACGTTAAGATTCGTAGTGTGTGAAGACATTTTCACAAAATTTCAAATATCAGCTAACAACCAGTACGAAAATAGCTGATCTCAGATACAAGTTAACAAACATGGTTTTAGTGGAGCTCAAAACATGTGATTAATCCTGATGAGCAGCCTTTCACTATTTTCTGTACTTACAGCAGGAAAAGTACACATAATGCACTTAAGTCTGTTGAGGCCTGACGTGGTCTTGTGGTTAGGGCACTCGACTCGCAATCTGCGGGTCGTGGGTTTGAATCCTTGTCATCGAACATGCTCGAACTTTCCGCCGTGACTTCAAACTCCGTAATTTTCAACCAGTTGTTATATTTTCGATTACTTTTTTTTATTGCCTTTTAACGTTGAAAAACACGAGAGCGCTACTTTTTAACTTTTCAAATGAATCCTCTCGTATTAACTCATTATCTTATGCAAATATTACAATATGTATATGCATATATGTATTTATGCTACATATCCCTTATCGCTCTCCATGTTCCGTTTCAACATTGCCTGACCGATTTCTGCATAACACTTTCTAAATGACCAGTTACGCCAAGTGTGCCTTAAAGTGTACAGTTATGGACAAAAGTTTTGAATAACCTTAGAATTACCCATTTTTGCTTCATAAATCAGAATGAAACTTGCTGAATACGATTATATTTAAAGGCTGCATGAAGGAATCTAAAAGACAAAAAGACCCTTCGTTGAGTCCATGTCTGAGAGGATTAAGGAAAGCTTGAAAAACCATGGAATTTGGCATGGACTGGTGGTTAGGGCAATCGACTCATAATTGGAGAGTCGTGTGTTCGATTCACGTCCCCGAACATGTTTGCTCTTTCAGCAGAGGGGGCGTTATAAATGAGACAGCCAATCCCACTCTTCATTCGTAAAGAATAACCCAAGAGTTGACGGAGGATGGCGTGGACTGGCTGTCTTTCCTCTAGTCTATCACATCAAAATTAGGGAAAACTATGGCAAATAGCCTTAGAGTAATTCTGGGTGAAATTCAAAACAAACAAACAAAAACCATGGAACACACTGCAAATAGTTAGTACTACTATCGCGGCTTGCAGAAGATTTTTCTAATGTAAGTTTGCAATTTTTTGATAAAATGATATTAAATATAAAATCTAAATTATGTTCATATGTATATATAATTTTCAATTATGTCTCATTCCTAGAGTGTTTCAGAACTTTTGGCTATAGCTGTGCATTACAATTAACAGTACGAATCAGTATTATTGATTTTAAACATTACCTGATAAAACTCTGTGCTTCTGAAAGAATAAGAAACACTATTTGAAGTTTCAAGAACAGATCTTACTGGGTCTGGAGACGCATATCGTTAATAGTACACGTATCGAGAATATGGCAAATGGAAATGTTTTTCACATATTTAATCACGAAAGTGGTTTGATAACACTTATCAACACGAACTTTGGCCCTTTAATGATAACGCATTGCCACCCAAAAAATAAGATAGTTATTGTGATTGAAAAGATCATTTGAATGTATAGGTTGTGAAATCTTAGAATTATTAATTACTGATTAGATTTTTCATAGAATTAAAAAAAAGTGTTGGTAAAAGATTTGCAAAAGTAGTGGATATATTGTAATATTGTTGCGTAAGCGAGGTCACGTGACTGGTATC